ATGAGTGATCTAGGCATGTTGCATTATTTTTTGGGAATTAGTATCATTCAATCAAATGATGGTATCTTTATTACTCAAAAGAAATATGCAAAAAACACTTCTAGAAAAGTTCAAAATGGTTGGTTGCAAGCCTGTTGCAACACCTCTAGTTGTGAATGAAAAGTTTCAAAGAGAAGATGGCAGTGGTGATGCTGATGAATCTGTGTATAGAAGCCTGGTTGGGAGTTTGTTGTATTTGACAGCGACTAGACCCGATATTATGTATGCTGCAAGCTTGTTGTCCAGATTTATGCACAAGCCTACTTGCATTCACTATGGAGCTGCAAAGAGGATCGTAAGATACATACAAGGTACACTTAACTTTGGTATTATGTATGAAAGGAATGTTGAGCCAAAATTGTATGGGTTCTGTGATAGTGACTGGGGAGGTAGTGTGGATGACTTGAAGAGCACATCTGGCTATACTTTTACATTAGGGACTAGTGTATTCTCTTGGGCATCTAAGAAACAGAAATCAATTGCACTATCAACGGCAAAGGCTGAGTATGTGTCGGCTTCAATTGCAACTTCTCAAGCAGTGTGGCTGAGAAGAATTCTGCAAGATTTTGGTGAGAAACAAGAATCAGCAACTCATATCCTTTGTGATAATAAGTCAGCTATTGCCATGAGCAAGAATCCTGTCTGTCATGGTAAATCAAAGCATATTGCTCTGAAGCATCACTACATCAGAGGTGCTGTGGAAGACAAGGAAGTGGATGTGGTCTATGCAAGACAGAAGATCAAGTTGCTGATATCTTCACCAAGGCATTACCAAAGGACAGATTCATCTACCTAAGAGAACTTTTGGGAGTGAAGCAGCAAAGCATTAAGAGGGAGTGTTAAAAGTTAATGCTTTACTTAAACTGATTCTGTGTAAAAGGGCTGACTGTTGCCTTTATCAGTCGACGCATTCTCTTTATCAGTCGACCCAATTACTTCAGTCGGCTTATGTATTGAGCCATATATATCAGAAATATCTGAATGAAAATATCAAATATCTGTTTTAAGAAAAAGCATCAGCCTTCTGTTTCCAAAGCTCTCTGCACTCTGTTTCTTTGATTTTCAATCTTTATCATTTTATTCAAGTTTTATTAATGATGAAAGATTGTCTAAATACCAACAAAAGTTACTAATACCAGAATTGACTTTTTAGTATAAAAATGTAATTTTTCTTTAAAATAAACAATATCACGAGTTTTTCATTAAAGTTCCCTTAAATGAATTTACCGATAAGCATGGACAGTTATTATTCCCCAAAAATAAAGACTTCAATCAATATTGCAATTAAGAAGCAAAACCAAAAACAAATTGAGAAAAGATCCTAATTTTGAAGTCCAAATGTTCGTCCATCTTCCCACAAGGACAACCGAAAAAAATTAATACAAGAGCTATACAAATTCAGAAAAAGATGGTTTCCCGGTGCATAAACTAGAAATCGAAGGCAGAGAGAGAATGGAGAAGCAGAAAGGGGAAAGAGAAGAATAATCTAAAAATGAAAGGTGGAGTTGTAGAGAGGTGGGTTCTGAATTGGGCAACCAAAATCCTAGGGATAAAAACATTTTACCCAACTGTGGACAGTAAAATATTGCTGGAAAAGAACAAATAAATCAAAATTGCAATTGAGACGTCGATGTCAAAGAAGATGACGAATTCTAAAGCAAAACAACACAGAAAAAAGTCCCAATTCTGGAATTGTCCGAGCATCTGGAACAGAACTATGAAATAACATGATTTGGTTCGTTTGATGAGGGCACTTTGGGCCTAGCCGCACTTGTTTTGTTAATCCAATAAAAAATTTTGAATAAAAATGATCAACATAAACAATAGTTTGAGTAAAAAGAAAGTTGTCTGAAATCTCAAATTCCATTCCAAGTGAATACCCGAAATGAAAACGAAGAAGCACAAGAGTAGAAAAACGAGAATATTCAGAGGCATAGGTAGTTTTACAATAATGCCCTTAGAAATATCACGAGTTGTTTTGTTTGAATGGGGTAATTTGTCATTTAAATGTGGAAAATTGACGACTTTGGTTCTCGAGCAGCTATGGCAACCATGGAAAGGAGTTGCAGGGAGGTCTCGTAATGGGGATAAAAAAACATTTACCCAGAAGTACGGACACTAATTACTGCCCAAAAAATAACAATTAGCCGAAATGTTCAATTGAGAAGTGGAAAAATCATGGTGCGATTCATGAATCATACAGATTAAATCCCAATTCGGAAAAATCATGGTGCGATTCATGAATCATCTTCAAAGAGGAACAAACCGAGAGCACGGTTTCAGAAAAATACAGAAAAATGCGAAACGCGGGAGTTTACCTGGAAACGGTGTGAACAGAATCTGGAATTGTCCGACTCGTAAGCATGGCGGCGCTTCTTACAAATAGACAGCAAAGATGGGAGAAGTTCACGGTTGAGGGTTTTGGCGTGGGTGGATGAGCAGAAGAATGAACGGAGGAGACAGTTTGATGGTTCTATATGTACGTTTTTACAATAATGCCCTCGTAAATCTCATGAGCTGTATTGTTTGACGAGGGTACTTTTGTCCATTGGCCGTTCCTCCTAGTTGAGCGCGGACAAGGATTTGACGCGAGAGGGTTTGTGTTGGTGGTTCAAACTTTGAAGGGCAATAACTTTGCTCTCGGGTGTCCGATTTGGGTGATTTTTTTTTTGAATCCGCATAACTTTTCGAGACGAAGCAGGGCGTGGGGTTCCGTAGGAGCCCCAACCCCCTAAAAATTAAAAAAAAACGCTTTTTTGTGCTTCAAAATCGACTTTTAAATCAACTGCGCGCCTCGATCGGCAATTTTTTTA